GGTGCAGGTCGACTCCGGCACGCCGCTGCAGGTACGAGGCGTCACGGTCCACCAGGACGACTATGTGATTGCCGATCGATGCGGGACAGTTTTTGTCCCGGCTCAGCGCATTGAGGAAGTCCTAGAGCTTGGCGAGCGGATCGACCGTCGCCAGACCCGGATGGTTGAGGCCGTTCGAGCCGGCCAGCCTGTGTCTGAGGTCATGCACGACAAGCAATTCGAAGCGATTCGCGAAAGTTCACCGTCACAGACCGCCGCACCACTCAACAACGGAAACCCCAAGCAACCTAGTGCCGAAGATCAAGAGTTGGTAGCGCTGTTCGCCGACTCAGACACCCCTGGGGTCTCTGACGCACTTGATAAACTTGGCATTCCTGGACAGGCGTTCGGTGTCATGCCTTTAACCGATTACAAAAAGGTGACCGTCGGGCCGGCCTTTACTGTTCGTTACGTGCCTGCCAGTGACCCGCCAGGAAGTGTGGGTGATTTCATTGACGAGGTGGCCATAGGCGATGTTGTGGTCATTGACAATGGCGGTCGCACGGATTGTACTGTGTGGGGCGATATAATGACTCAGTACGCTGGCTTACGAGACATCGCTGGAACTGTTATTGACGGTGTGTGCCGCGATGTGAACCGTGCGATTGACGACGACTACCCACTCTTCACCGCTGGACGTTGGATGAGAACCGGCAAGGATCGGGTTCAAGTCGGGGGTGTCAACGAGTCGGTCGGCATTGGTAGGGTACGGGTCAACCCTCGCGACATCGTTGTCGCCGATGCCAACGGTGTTGTTATTGTCCCGCGAGATCGAGCCCGTGAGGTGGCGGAAGTCGCACGAAAGATCGAGAAGAGTGAAGCCGGCATTCGGGAAATGATCGCTGGTGGTGCTACAATCGCCAAAGCGCGAGAGAAGCTAGGCTATCACACCCTGCAGCGCAAGGGATAAGTGGTAGCTGAATACAAGGTTTTGCAAGCTGTTGAAGACAACGCCACATGTTCGGTATATGCTAGTTTAATAGAGAATACCACAGACAGTCCTCATTAAACTGATTCCACTATCCGTATGAACGGTAGATAGACCAAAACTCTAATCGTGAGATGGAGTGGCTTAAACGAATCTAGTATCAAGACGTCAATCCCCGTATATAGTTTCTTGCGACGTGAGGTGGAGTTCATCCACGATCAAAGATGAGGAATATATTCATATTCGAGTGGTAGAAGTGTCGAGTAATTAACCAGGAATCTTTTTTTCATTCAATCGATTGCTGGATCATATTAACGAATAAGATCTATAAAAAGGAGGCCGACGCATTAATTAATGCTAGTCATAACTTCATAGTCAACTCGACAAAATATCCCACCTCGTCGACCTAAAACTAACTTCTGCCCCACACTCTTGCAGAGAGATTCATATGAGCCTGTTTATTGATTCTATTATAGGTATAGTCTTGGGAGGAGAAATTCATTGGTACCTGAACTGTGTAACAAATTCGCCACTTTGGGTTTGACTATCGAGTTCCTGCATTGGACATTTGTATAGATCTACACCAATAAAAGTACAGCCAGAAGCTATATTTCGAGGACATAGATGCGACAAGACAAATCATGGCTATGTATTGGAAAGATTACATTTGTGCTCCATAGACCATCTTTGGGGGCTTTTGCCGACACCGTGTTAGAGGGAGGTGTTCGGCGGGATCTTTTGGTTTCGCCGTCGGCATAGATTTATTTCCCCGATACTGAGTAACTCTCTGATACACTCAATGCGACTTCTTCTAGATTCAATTCCAAGTTCGTCTCGATATTAATATAGCTGTATATTGTGCTATCAACTTTCATTCCTCCTTTAATTGTATTCCAGCTCTATCTTCTCTAGACATCTTCATAACGCTTTTAGGGCTTCAGTCGATCTTTCACAGAACAGTCATACATAACACAAAATGTCATACGCACCAGCCCTAACAACCGCCATTCACAACCCGCGGCTACGCCTGCTCAATGCTCTTCAAGGCAACTCAAAGCCTATAATGACCTTTCTAGGGCTTCCATCCTTTCGTACAGCTCAGATTGTAGCTCAGACCGGTGTTGATGTCAGCAATTCCCCATTCTAGTAGTTGTCATTCCGCGCTGATAACCGTAAAGGGCATCATCATCGACTGTGAGCATGGCCACATAAGCGACGATTCGATGCACAGCTCGACTGCGGCTATCGCAGCTTTAGGGGTATCGCCGCTCGTTCGGCTCAGGATGACTCACGCGGATTTAATCAAAAGAGCTTTGGATGCTGGTGCACAGTAAGTGACAAGTCAAATCCTATCATTCCAGCACTAAAGAGGATCATAAGTGGCATCGTTGTACCTCAAATCAATACAGCCGAAGAGGCTAGAGCCATTGTCTCTCATGCCAAATTTCCTCCCCAGGGACTTCGAGGGCAAGGCTCCGCGTTTCCAGCTATCGCTCACGACATCGATATTCCGACATACATGAAAACGGCGAACGAGACCCTCATTACCTGTGTTCAAATTGAATCGAGGGCCGGAGTCGAGAATGTCGATGCCATCTGTGCCGTCCCTGGTATTGGTTAGTGACTGGCCACAACTACTAACAATACTATTACTAATTTCCGTCAAGATATGGTCTTTATCGGACCCAATGATCTCGCCCTATCGCTCCTTGGCTATGTGCCTGCAAAAGGCAACGAGCCGGAGTTTGTGGACGCTATCGACAAGATCATAGCGGCAGCCAGAAAGCATGGCAAATGGGTCAGCCGATTATCAAACAACGGGGCTTTGTGCAAGGAACATCTGAAAGTCTTCGATACCGTGGCACTGAGTTATGATGTTCGGGCAATTCAAAACTGGTACACAGCTGAGTTGCAAGTTGCGCGCTCGTGAGCCCTTGCTGGGTAGGAGAGAAATGCACGCTTTCGCATTTCAATCACTGGGTGTTCTATGTTCTAGCTCTTTCTTCAATAGATACTGGCTTGATGAAGAAAGGAGGCGGAGCTATTCTATACTGGGAACGGCATATCATTGCAATTGTTAATCTACCGCTGGGATAAGGACATATGATATGACCTTTACGGAGGTCAATTTATGCAAGTATCCATGAAGAATCCGTAACGCAAAGCCGCCACGAATTCGGAGCGGATGTGGATCCTCGAACTGAGATCGACAGTGTATATATGTGATACAAAAAGGCTAAATAGAGGCTTTAGATAAGTTATTTAGGTTGGGGGGTGTGTGTAATCTGTAGTCCGTAGGTATTATAATCGCCTCACATTGTAGCTGGCCTGGTACCGTGACGATCACATAACAAGAAACTCTGTACCGTATAGATCCTAGACTGACCATTTATACTGTATTCTACCTATGCTAAAAAATATAAGTTCAGCTGTTCTTCTAGAAAGCCTAATAATTAGTAATAACCATAATACAATTAGCGGGTGGCCAAAAATGACGTCCTACATATCCAAGTCCTTTCGCGTATCCCGCGGAGTAAAGTAGGAATTTAGACTCAACCACTTATATTAATACACCCACCGGAGTACACGAGATTATCATATCCCTCTCGATTGGACGGGTTGTATGGAGCTAGTATACGTAGTGGGCACCGGTGAAGGTCAATAACTGGGGCGGCGGGATTTTTTTTTTTTTCCTCCCCGCGACCCGCACTTTTCCCAGGCAATTGACCTCCATAGCTGTTCGAGAATTGGGTCGCAATCCAGCAACACATTACATTCCTCGTGATATCATTGCAAAATGCCTGACAAGGACGCTGGTACACCCCGCGTCTTCCTCTACCGACACGGTATGTTCTAATAGAGTGGGGATAATCACTGCGGGGCCTGATACTGACCCCTATCCCAGGTCAGACGGAGTGGTCCAAGAACGGCCGGTACACCGGTGTCACTGAATTGGAGCTCACGGAAGATGGCGAGAACCAAGTCCTCGCGTCTGGCAAGATGATTGTTGGATCGGGCAAATTGATTGACCCGGCCCACCTGGCGCATGTCTATATTAGTCCTCGCAAGCGGGCGATGCAGACTTTCGAGATTGCTTTCTCTGATGCTGCCAAGCAGGAGCTGAGAGACGCAAACAAAGTCAGCGAGACTGACAGACTGGCCGAGTGGGGCTATGGTCTGTACGAGGGCCTGGTGACGAAGGAAATCCGGGCCTTGCGAAAGGAGCACGGTCTGGATACCGAGCAGCCATGGGATATCTGGCGCGATGGCTGCGAGGATGGAGAGTAAGTTCCTCTGCCAGGCGACTATAGTAATCGGTTCTCCATCTGTCATGAACATGTTTAACCGGATGTATTAGGTCTCCTCAAGAGGTCACGGACCGCATTGACGATCTTATTAAAGAGATTCGTACGCTCCACAAAGATAACATGCACGGCGAAAAGCATTGTGACGTGGTACTGGTCGCACATGGCCACCTGCTCCGCGCTTTTACCAAGCGCTGGCTTGGATACCCCATGGAGTTCCCTCTTTCCCTGATGCTTGACCCTGGCGCTGTCGGTGTCTTGAGGTAGGACATTCCCTTTCAACTCCCGTTGTCCTTCCGGTTCATATTTTCTGACAATCGTATAGCTACCAACACCATAGCATTGATGAGCCTGCCCTGATGGTTGGATATGGATTCCCATTGGAAGGATGATGGGAGATATTTAGATTGTATAGACCTCACAGTATAGAGAAATAAACTACATAACACAAATTTCGCCTACCGGAGGTTTCCTAGTGTATACTGTGTAGTTCCCCTGGTCTTATTTGAACCTGCTAATCTGCGGCCGGAGAGACGTGACAGCACGCCATGCCGAGATTTATGAATAGAATAATGGATACCATCGCGATCAAACTACATGCAGCGGACATGTAATAAAGACAAGTCTCTATCCGAAATCACGTTAAAGGCTAGAATCGTAGCAGTCTTCATAGTTTGTTACCTTCGAAATTCATACCCACACACCTATAAATCACTAATAATCAATCATCACCACACAGATGGCACAGCCTTTGTGGACAGTTTGGAAAGCCTCTCTTCACTGAACCTAAAACATTCAGGCAGACCTGTATCGTCCCAATCCTTTCCAAGTATGATCTTGGCAACACCTGGTGCACAAGTAAATATACGTGCCATCCCTGTTTATCTCAGCCTTAAATACGTTTCCACAAGAGGCAGAGTTAAAGCTTACCATGTCCATTAAACCCAGCACAAATATATTGCCCTGGCAGGGATTCGATTGCCCCAACGAAGGGTACGGAATCGGTCGTCATGGCGATAATCCCAGTCCACGCGTGATCCAAACCCTCTCCATGCACGGTATTTGCGCCGTCAAAGTCGGGAAATATCTTTCCGAAGCTTTGCAGAGCATCTTGGACTATCTCTTCGTTATAGAACGTATCATTTGTACTATAGACACTAGCTCGTGTTTCCTCACTGAGGGTAGGGTTTGATCGCGATACACCCAACACCAGTGTACCATCATTCTGCCTTTGGATTAAGGAGTAGAAATGATGTAGACTATAACGCAGGGAAAAGGTATTCCGAAGGACCTTCTCTGCGGCGAACGAAGGTGTTGGGATCAGGCTATGCGCCTGAGCGCGGTTCGGCTGGATATACGACTCTAGGTGTGGTAGCAAAAGTGCAGCATGAGCGTTCGTACAGTGGACCACCCGCTCCGTTGTCACCACTCCCCGTGGAGTATGCACATCCCAGAGCCCTGGCTCCGACTCGTTGCGCCTTAGCTCAGTAGCTGGGCAAAACGTGAACAACCTCCCCCCGCGTGATACAACTGCCTGGAGGAGAAACTGTGCGAGCTTCGCTGGATGACTGGATCCAGCTGGCCACTCATATGCTGCGACGGCACCCTTCACTTTTGTCCTTGTTTGCGCGTCTTGGCCTTCATAGAACTTGATGTGTGAAACATCGCCTCCAGCGGTTTTGTACGCTTCAAAGCTTTCGGCCTCATACGCTGCAAACTCGGGGGTCATGCATACGTCGAATGTTGTAGTGAGGTTGAAGTCGCACTGGACGTCGTGTTTCTTGGTAAACTCGTCTACTTTTTCGAGTACCAGGCGCTCGTTGGCAATTATCTTTAAAGCTTGTTCTTCCCCATGGACCTTTGCATAGGCACTGAATCCTCGGAATGCATCTATCAGCTGATTAATAACTGAATATAGAGATTGACAACGCAGTTAGAATGTGTACCTGGTCGTACATGTCCAGCATTTCGGGAGCTGGCACCGCTTGCTGCCTCTCGCGCCTCGAGTATTATGATATCCTCCCCTTTGACGCCAGCCTCAATAAGCTCGAACGCTGTAAGGCCGCCAGAGATCCCGGAGCCAATCACTACATACTTCGACCTAGAAGGGACTGGTGTGGTTTGATTGGTATGCAGCAGGGGAAAGGCACGGGTAGTTCGCTGCCAGAAACTCAGGCAGGGGTTTTTGATAGGTAAGCTTCTGCTAGAGCCATCTCGAGACGAGGAGGGCATGTTTGCGTGAACGTTGATAAGGGTAAATAGTAGTATATATTATGCCGAGGCTGTGCGAAGCTTCAGATATGCTTAACCAAGAGTGGTTCCGAGCGTGGTAGCTTGGCGGATATATACGTAGTAGCAACCTCGGAGATACTCCGTATTGCGATAACGGCCGCAACTAGTGGTCGATGACTACTACTGTCTCGTCATCGTGTAGAGTACGTGTTAAAGTTGGGATTAAACTTGAGAGCTCGCTGATCGGGTCGGCTATCGCTTGGACCTGCAATGTGCTCCGTGCACGCTGATAGAAGTGACTTGAGCGGGGTATTTCAAGGAACTCAAGTTGTTCAAGTCGTCTTGGCCATGGAATCCTGCCGAGATAATACGGGGTATTCAGCCACCAGCCTCGCCATTGGTGGCTATCGCCGCCTCTTATCACGCTTAATCCTTTGATTCTTCCCTGGAGGTCACACGTCCAAAAGCGGCATTTGCTCATGCAAGGAGATCGGCAACTGATATGAATCGTCTTGGTGGAGCTTCCTATCGCATCTGTACCACGTGGATTATGAAGGTAGCCAGCAATAAATAGGAGAACTTTTCTCTCTGACATAGCTGTTCATTGCTTTTGCCGATTTTGCTTCCTTGAAACTAGCAATGGTGACCTTTAAGTTTGGTCGCACCGCGTTGGCAAGGCATCATGTTCGCTCCCCAGATGAGAAGGCACTGGTCCGACGACTGGATATATTTCTCCTAACCTTTGGTTGTCTTTCTCAAGGTAGGCAATAGGGATAATATCGGATAGCACAGGACTAAAAACAACATACAGTTATCAAATACTTGGACCAGCAGAACATCAACAATGCCTACGTTTCCGGCATGAAGGAAGACCTCAATCTCCTCGGAAATGAGCTGAATCTGTGTGTAAAATGGGCGATCACGATGCTCGAACGGCAGCTAACTTTTTCAGCTTCACGACATACTTCAATGCCGCCTACTGCGTCATGCTCATCCCCTCTCAGATCATTCTGACCTACGTACGACCCAGTTTCTGGCTGCCTGGTCTAGAGATCGCCTGGGGGGTTCTAACCGGATTGATCGCCATGTGCAACAGTGCAAAACAAATATATGTTCTGCGAGTCTTTCTCGGTCTCTGTGAAAGTAGCGCCTGGCCTGGAATGATGACCTTATTTAGTAGGTCCATCCATTTCCCGTTTTCGTGATCTCTGCCATGCAATTATAGGCCAAGGCCAACAAGTTATAGTGTACTGGTACACCCCCACCGAGCTTGCGAAACGCATGGGATTTTATCATTCGTGTCAAGCCGCCGGACAGATGATGTCTGGTGCTTTACAAACTGCCATCACCAACACCATGGAGGGACACCATGGACTGGCCGGGTGGCGGTGGTTGTTCGTTATTAACGCCATTATCACGGTGGTGTGGGGATTCTTAGGATTTTTCATGATTCCTGATCTGCCAAATAAGCCAAACCCCCGTGCATTTTGGTTTAAGAAAGTGCACGCCGAACTCTCCATGGAGAGACTAGCACGGAATGGCCGCGCGGAGCCGAAGAAGATGACATGGGCTGGTGTCAAGCGCACATTTTCTGGCTGGGTGGTCTACTTCATTGCGGTCTTATATATCGCAACCGTACTAGGGACGTACGGCTACGTCTATTTTTCGCTCTTCCTGAAATCTCTCAAACGACCGGACGGCAGTCTAAGGTGGAGTGTCTCCCAGGTGAACGCAATCCCCATCGGCGGCTCAGCCATCAACGTGGTCTTCGTATGGGTGTGGGCCTTGCTCTCCGACTTTCTGGAGACGAGATGGACACTCATCGTCCTGCAAGGCATCATCGGAATAATCCCGTGTATCATCATGAGTATCTGGACGCGACATCCTACATCGGTCGACGTATCCGCCGCATACGCGTCATATTTCATCGCACACACCTGCCTCGGTACGGCGCCGCTCATCTTCGCCTGGCTTGCCGATCTCATCCCACAAGACCCTGAAGCGCGCACGCTCGTCGTCGGTGTGGCAGTGGCCGGATACTATGCGATTTCGGCGTGGTCGCAAGTCCTGGTTTGGCCGGCGTCCCAGGCCCCCTATTATAGATACGGTTGGCAGAGTGCTCTTGCATTGTTGGTTCTTGTCATCGTCATGACGTGTATTCTGCGCTTTATCGATGTGCGATACTTGTTGCCGAAGCGTGTGGCTTTTCAAAATGCTCTAGATGCCGAGGTAGTGGCTGGTAGCTCACTGAAGAATGATGAAGAACGGCCAAGGGATGCGGACTGGAAGAAGACTCCGACGACGAGGGTGGATGAGTGAAGATAAACCTAGCGTAACCATTCATAGTCATGTCATATATGTGTATAAAAGTAATTATTTAGCCCTCACTGTACTGACGTTATTTCAAATTTAGACTAGACTAGCATTTGGCCAGGTTAGGTTAGGTTAATGGGGTCAGTTATACCTAACTGCTAGGTTATGGCTAGATTAATAGAAGTCTATGGGGTTCCGTTGCGCGTTGGGCTAGTTTCCTTAAGTAGAATTTGTACACCTGGGGAGGGTCTACAAGACGTTAAGGGCTTTTATAACTGTGCTATATAATGTCTTACAGTAATGTAAATGAGTATGAGTGATTCTACAGATCAACCTGAGCTTGTACCTGATATACTGGGATCTGACTAAGGCTCCTTCCTCCCTTTTACCATAGTAAAACACCCTCCCAATTTCACGCCTTACTACCATCCACTAGCTTTCCATCTCTCCACTAATGGTGTACTAGCAATAAAGATTGAGTATCACCAATCTGTGCTGTCTTCAATCGGTTGAACGCCATACGACTCCGTATACATCCTGACCATGCCTTGGACATTCTTGACATGGCAACATATCTGTTGCCCAGTGGTTTTGATGTATCGACTGACGTTTGCCTCTTCGTCAATATCCAGTTCGAATATCTCACTCATTAATAATCTGTACTCGTCGTATTGGCGAGACCCCTTATCAAAGAAGTTTCCGGCTTTCGTCACCACCAATACCACATAGAGTCTGGTGCATGCCGTCATCATGTCGATTTTAGTGCTGGCGGCTTCCACTGGAAAAGAAAAACGCTTAGCTAGCTCAATGACCGGTACCGACATCTTGGTAGTGGATTGATCACTCACAGGCAGACAGCATGACTCTTTCGCGGCTTTTTCCACAAGTTTTCTCGCTGTGGTAGATGAAGCTCCCAATGGCGAGGAAACCCAAAGGAGGGGCAACTGACGTAAGAAGAATGCATGCCCAGGAAGCGATCGTTATGATTTCACCTGTCTTCTCTTCATCCTTCAATTGTTCTAGGATGGTCCCCACGGCCCCGCGAAACGGCACCATACATCCCTTTACCCCTAGCAGTGCCCTTGATAGCTGCTCCATCTCGCTATCAGGAATGTAAGTATCGCCTATGTATCGGCTCAATCAGTGGGGATATACTATTATAATTCGTATTCTATATTATCTTACCGATTCCTTCAATAATGATACTTAATACTCTCCCGAAAGTGAGGACAGGCTTGAACGTATGCTGCACAAGTTCGACCTTCTCTCGCATATCGATATTTTTGAACTTCTCCGTATATAGCTAATAAAGCAGGGTATCAGCCGCCGGTCATGATACCATTATTTGAGCTTATAAACACCTCCCACCTTAATTTCCTTGTCAGATTTATCCTTACACGCGTTTAGTATAGCCAGAAGGATCTTTGCTATCATCTCTAGCTTGGGATTTCCGAGAACACCAGATAGTTCCAGGATCTGCTCATTCGTCAGAAACTCTGAGACCGTTTCAAAACCATCAGTGAACGTCTTTAGCGCCAGTAAGATATGTCTCCTACAAATGTGTCAGTAATCAGAAAGCCAACATCTCTATATATCAGTATCTTACATCCAGTCAATTCCTGACCATTCTGAGTCATTGTCCCTGCTTGTCGTGACCCCCTCGTGGAATGACTTGAGATGCATCAATATCAAACTGCCGCCAAACACTTTATCGACGTCGCCTGGCACCTCTCTGGCGTACGAAGGAAGGATTCGGATGCTCTGCCCGCTGATTGTATGTGTACCGAGTAATGTGGCGGAGAGGACACGAATTGGCATTTCCCTCAGGGGACTCTCGTGCTGCATTGTCTTGTGTTGAAGTCGTACCTACAGTGTGATCAAATGCAGTCGTTAATGTCAAGCTCTATGAATGACTCTTCGAACAAGAGGGGTCAATATACCTTGAAAGCCTCCCTAGCTGGACCTTGATAGCGGTTGAACCGCACACATGATATGCAAGTCCACTCGCTCTCCCCGTCCCTAAATTGCCTTTCTAGGAACGCATCGATATCCGCAGGAGTTAGTGAACAATCGGGCGATTGGCTCAAGAAAGTTGCATAGAGCGTCAAGGGTCTCAACGATGGTTTAATCCACAGACTGTATAGAAAGGTAAGTAGGCTTGCGAGAGTGAAATCGCGGGTTCCAATAAAAATAGTGCCGAATCCTACTAGAGCGTCCATGGCGGGCTCCTCAGTGGGATGATGGAAAGGACAAGCAGGATTGGAATAGTGTTAGTAGGAACCAGAATGGGATTGAGATTGGAAAAGTTGTCAAACGTTGTAATCAGGATGAATATAGGCTGCTGTAAACGGCGGAGAGATGTTTTTTCTTTTAGCGCCGCTACTTTGAAGGAGGCGATCCAGCCTTGTTTATCCAAGCGCCTACATTACCTCTGGTGGTCTTGACATGGCACGCGAGGCTGAGGTTCCGTGACCTATTGGATATTCAATCCATAGTTGGACTAAGCCCCCGGCTGAATCCAAGAGGCTCAGAATTTTCTGATTTGACGTGGACATTTCCCTTGGCGATAACATAATAGGCTTACAGAGCCGCCCACTCCTTTGTCCTAAACATATATCCGGTTCATTATCACGGGGGCATCTCATTTCTTTGTAATAACTTTGAATGCGATTGTTACTGGTAAGGGATACTGACTGCTCTCCCCAACAGGATATTTACTCTAGTGAGCATACTGCATATTGAAAAACTACCTAGTTGCACTTGCGAGGCAGAACTTGCTTCCTTCACCGTAAACCTAACCTTTCCCTAAAAAGAGGTATTTGGGTATATTTGCTCTCCTCGCTACTTATGCAAGCCCCTGCAACCAACGCGGCTGAGATGTCCCAGCAGAATCATACATCAAGGTATAAAAGAACAGTGGCTGGAAAATAAAAATCAGAGTCCTCAACAAACTAATTATCTCTCGTCCGAAACCCAGCGTTTTATCTATATTATGTGAATATGAGTCATCAACAGGGGATCATCACTGAGAAAGTTGATGTTTATAAAATACCTATCGTGGGCCAATGATTTAGTACACTATGTTTAAAATATCTTTTTCGCTAACTCCACCAGTTTGCGAATATCTTCTGGTTCTGCGGTAGATATAGTGCCCAACTGCTATCCAGTTGAAGGGTTTTTTACCTGTGAGAGTAATACTTGTTGACGACGGCACAAATTTGTTGTTTATAAATAGACCAGGTGGGATTATTTCTGTAAGTGAAATAGAATTTTATCGCTAGAGACGAATCCAGTATCTGTTATTCTACGGCCATCTACGCCAACAACTGTCAGTGTCGATGTTATAGCGCCCATGTCGAAGGGCAAATGAAGTAAACATGAATGTTAGCACTATAAGCCTTGCTATATTCAAGTGCAGGAGAGCGAAATATATGTCTCTTCACTCCATCTAAGCAGGAGATACTTCTCTATACAGGCCCATTCCTTCCTCTCTCCTTTTTGTCAGCGCACTGATGCGTAGCATCGGCATGTGGGAATTGCCTGTATTCACCTATTGGGAAGGAGGAACTCTCTTGATCTCGAATCCTTTTCCTCCTATCAAGTTGACTGGATCGTAGTGTATGCGGGTAGACTTAATTTTTATTATATTTTAGATATTTGGCTTTGTAGATAATATATTCAAAGTTATTAATACCATAGTTATTATCAGCGTACTACGTGTGTATGGCTAGATAGTACTAGTAACAGTCTCATTTTCTATTGGAGATATAGATTGATTGACCGCCATCCCCTTTTCTAGATAATAAATTAAAAAGCAGTAGGACTGTACTGTTCCAGCTTTTAGACTGCTTTGGTTTGTTAGCTATTATATTTGAGGCTGTCCGCCCTGTCAGCGGGTGTGTCTGTCGGTAGACGGAAGGGGGTCTAGAATGGTAGATAGCAAGGGAGTTTTGATATATTCTATACATGTAACCTGTTAAAGAATAATATTATGGTCCCTACTATACTTTAGAACAGAAGAAGCAGGAAGGGAACAAAGAGAGATAATATTGGTGGGGGAGCCTATAATAGAGATAAAGATTAAAGAGGAAATTTCTTACAGCGAGGGCTAGCTAATAACAGCTTCCCCGCGTATCTGGGGCGGGTATCAAATGCGAAAAGTATATAGATAGGCACTGGGCCTATAAAACCCCTAACTTGTGAGGAGAAAGTGTGATAAGGGTCTCGCTAGACTGCGGAGAACGCTGGGCGGGCAGGTGGACGGCACGGAGAGAGGCATCAACCCTAATTCAACTGTTGTCGTGATGTGATTTGTCCAAGATCGAACACCCGGTGGGCATAGGCAATGGAATTGGCGATCCCAGTATATCTTGTTGAGAAGTTAGTCCCCACTCTAGATGGCATTCTGGCAGTTCATGAGTGCTTTTAGGGTTTATACAAGTCCCTGTGACCATTTTCGTGAAGTGATGTTTACGTATTATATTTTATTGCAAGCGTAGTAGTGTCCCAGCTTGTTGCTAATCCGCATATTTTTACAAATCAACCCTTTTGGGTAGCTGAATATCTAATTGAATGCTCAGCTGCCCAGCGTGCCAGGCTTGTTTTAGGGCATTTTGACGGGCGTGACCAGCGAATCCCTGCTGTTGTATGTGTTCTTTACTTTTTTATGCCGATATTAGCTGCAGAAGTGGCTGGCTAAAATACGTGGGTGGGTCGAGATTGGGAGGCCGTCCCAAAGGCTATCGATCGGTGGAACTCTACCGCGCAGATCGCACTAAACTCGGAGATAAGATGCATGAGGTGGGAAAAACTCGAAATTCTCCGATTTGGTTGGATACTACCTAGTATTTGCGTTGTTTATTAATGAGATCTCATGTTGTAGATCTTTACCATGCTTGCGGTGATTGTAGAATTCTGGAACCTACAAACCCAAACATTATACCCAGAGACACCTATCTTACAATGGCCAACCTAATAAATGAGCTACAAATTATTTTTAAAGTCAATATGTTTCTGGTAGTGGTCAAAGATCGTGGCACTACCGCGTCTTTATATTTGTTGAGCCTTCCAATTTTCTCAGCTCAAAGACCAAACCCGGAAGTGCGATTTCCGAGCTGATGGAAAGCCGTGCTAGTATCGATTAACAAACTTCAGACACCTGTACTCCGCAGTACAGCGGACTATATTGGCCTGCATTAGTCGGGTTTGTTGTCAACTCCACGGAAGCTCGTCCATGCAAAGCTCGGCCTGTGGAGAAAGCCACGTCACAACTTTATCGGCGGATCTCGGCTTCCTTCACTCAGTTGCCTTTGATCTGCTTTCTTTTTTTCAATTTGTAGCAATTCCGTTAAATTCTGTAACGGATGAGACAAATCGCCTATGACTAGCATGACCAAAATTCTAACAAAGAGCGCGAGATTGGCGTTTGCCGTGTATACATTGCGTAGCTGTATCAACGAAGGAGAGTCACTGGAGTCTGGAGTAGGATGCCTGTTAGCTAGCCATACGTAGAGCCAGCTGGCCAAAGCGTACTGTATATGCCCCTCTCGTATCGACTGTGCCAGAAAATCCCTCAAAGCTGAAAGTTGCATGGAAGGGGCAACAGGCGGTGTCGTTAACCACGGTAAGGAGGGAAGCGAGATGACTCTATGGTTAGAGTCAACAACTACTCCAAACTCGGTTGTAGTAGCTGGAATTCATCAGGCAGTCATGCAGCCTATGGGCCCCACTTATTTATGTAGTGGTCTCTGATTGTAGGCAAGTTTTAAAACCCGGCTGTCTTCATCCCCTAGTGACTTCAACTCCAGATTGTATTCTATTCATCTGAGATCCTGTACATTGACTGGCAAAAAACACCCCGTCACAATGACAGCTACAGAGGAACCTTCGACTGAAGCTCCGCCACCCCAGACGCGCAAGCTCGCGGATGAAAGTAAATTTATCCTAACTGTCTACAAGTATGACCCGCGGACGAAGGAGACACAGACAGCTGCGACTGTCCCTGCATCAAAAGACCTCAAGGGCAAAAGGCTGCAGGAGATCCGATACTGGCTGATTAACACAGGAGCCTTGAACAAAAACCTGTAGGTTAACCCCATTAGGGCTGCAGCGTTTATATTGAAGGATTTTGATATGGATAACACGTCTGCTCAGACATAACTAACTTATAAAATCAACATAGGGCGAAAAGAGCACTCTGTACTTCAAATGGAGGGGAGGTACCAGATAGCACCACGTTAACTGACTACTTTGCTATGAATGGTATAGCTGCGGATGCAGTAAGCTCACGATGCGATATATGAATATTAATTTAGAGTGTCGATCTTACAGCTTCAATACTACAGGTCTCCGGTACCGTCTACATAAGGTCAGGCGGGAGCGAAGAACTTGACGAGTCCATGCAGTCATGGCTGAGCAAGGGATTAGATCTTAGTGGTGTAAGAAACCCTCGTACTTCCTACAATGTGTCCAAAAAGAATATTCAATTTACAGTCCTAATTATAATCCACCCAGAAAAATGCCCCAACGCTAGCTAGTATTCAAGCTGCAACTCTCTCCAGCAGCTACTCACACGGTGCGTGGAAGGCAAGCGAAGGCAGCGGCCAAGTGGTGTAAGTGGAACTGAAATATACCCAGGAATCTATTCTCAATGCCAATTTTACGTAGGCATCCATCCGACTTGTCCGAAAAACAGTGGGCAACTGTGTTGCGGAACAATGATATGCTATGCGGTCACTATCTGAAGGCTGGTCGCGCACAAGAAGGGCTAATATTCACTGGCCTTGAACCTCGATACTACCCAGGTGAGCTCACAACCTCTCTACTGACCCTCTACGTCTTGATATACTGATGCAGCAAAACCCAAGCCTTTGCTATCACGAAAAGGCAGATACCAGACTATGACATTCCCGCGGGTGCAGCAGAGGGAGATTTTAAAGCGCCATCTGTTAGTTGCCTCTTCAAACAAGCCTATGGAGGATCATGAGCTCATACGTCACTTGGTAGATGGATTTCCGTATCCCTCGTTTCCGCATCACCGATAAAGCACGCGTAGATGTGCTCGAATTGAAGAGCTCTCTGCAGGTCTCTATGGCAGAAAGTGCATTTAGCCAAACGACTGTTGAGGCCTCCATGTATGTCACTACCCCTCATGTCCAGCCTTTCAACTGCAGTTCATTTACATACACCTGGATTTGAGGCACTGACTAGCGGCACTCTAGTGGAGGTTCCTTTTGTGGTGTGAGCGCGGGAGTCAAGGCAGGGTACAGTGGAAGCGACGAGAGTAACTCTGCTTCTTCCGCATCCAGCTCCCAAGAGTTTATGTACATCTCTTATGATGTATGTCTCTGGCCCTATACAGCTCGCAAAAGTGCTGGTTGACATAGGATACAGTTCCCCCGAGTTGAGGTATACCTTGACCAGGAAAGCCTTGAGGTGTCGGCCGAATGCAAAAAGGACCTGGATATCCTACGGCAAATGCGCACCAAGGAGGAACTAGAGCGATTCTATAAAAAATATGGTCTGTTCATGTCTTATATTGGTATCCTCGCGCATACGTTCTGTTCATCTAATATGAGTAATAGGGCATGTCTTTGTTCCCCAGGTCCAACTTGGAGGCCGCCTCTACTCCATTGAGAGCTCTCAGAGCTTTGGATCAGCGACCAAGGAACAGAGAACTCAAATGATGAAGGCCTCTGCGAGTGCGTCATTCTCTGGTTATGGGGCTAAAGCAGAGGTCAGTGCGAGTCACGAAAAGAACACCGCACAAGAGAAGACCAGCACTAGCAGTACATACAACCATTCCATTACTTGGCATGCAGATGGAGGGGACACCTTACTGTGCAACAAGTGAGTCTTCTCGTCTGTATAACTAGATGTGAACTGGACGTTTCTTACTTGGTATGTATAGTCCACCATCTTGGTGTCCAACTGTCGCCAATTATCAGAACTGGCGTATCATGAAGGTAAGGTGGCTTTTATTTCCCAGTTATAGTTGCGACTAATCCTCTGCAGAGGAACGAGGGGGTAGACCTTATCGAGATGATTGGCAAAATCGATGGTTTTAAAGACATCCCAAGGTTGGTTCAATATATCGATGACGTGTTTGTCGCGTTTAAAGTTCGAAACACAGTGACCCGTAACGACGAGCGCACACTGGGAATAGCTATACAAAAGGGCAAGTGATATCTGCTTGACTTTTAAGGGACAGTCAAACTAATAGGTTTTTAGAGAACGGGCTGGCAAACAAAGCCGTGTACCACTACCAGACTGCATACGAGAGATACCCCATCGTCAACTACTCCGAAGAGAGGCCCAAGTTCATATATATTCTTCAAGCTGCTGCTAAAAAGACAGAAGTTTACTGGGATCATGGTATCCCAAGGGTGAGTGATCTTTGAATTTATTCTACATCTATGGTACATTGCTGACGTGAGCAGATGATATACGGAGTTCCCTATCGCCCATGTATTTACCACGAGGGAAATTGGTACGGCATTCGCCGGACCACTAAAGCCGATCACTTCGGTAGAGAAGGGATATTGTACGCTGGGAAGGATGAAGACTCAAATATTAGTATGACGCTCATCTCCAACGATGGAAAGAAGAAGCCTAAAGACACGGTCGGCACATATGACAATGTCCTCCTGGCATTTCACGACATGAAGGAGGAATATATTGGGAGTGTCGAGGTTGAGGATGATATGATATATCTAGGCAGCAAAAATATCCTGAACTTTGAGTTGCATTGCGTCTAAGCCTAGGGCAAGACCTGTGTTGGCAAAGAAAAGATCGAATTTTGTTCGATTTACTGTGACCTGCTTACCTCTCTTAGTGAAGACAGAAAGGGTATAATTCTCTATTGCTTATATAGTTCAAGGACATTGTCTGTATCAGCCCTAAATTGTCCTGCAAATACAGCTTGTTTTGTTGCTTCTGGTAATGGAAGTTCTAACGACCGTGGGTTTTGGGCCGTGCACAGAAAGAGTCTAGACATCTATGGTGATTATTGTAAGGCTGTATAACTATATAACACAATCTCGCCAACACCTCTTTCTTAAGGAATGTATCGAGGAGCTTCTCCAGCACTATAAAAAGTCTATCCTAATTATAGACAATACACCTTTTTCCTAGTCTGAGCGGATAGGATAAGTATACGTCGAAGCGAATTAACTAGTGTACTTATTGCTATACTCACTAAACACAAATCCTACTAAAAGGCTTTGACTCAGCAAAATAGAAATTGTATAAAGATACCTCTAATCAAGGATTTGATACCTTCCTTGAATAGTGCATCGACATTGTAAGGATCAGGAAGCAAAAGTACAAAAGGACATTTCCAGCAGACAGGTCTGACCATTAAAGAGTCGTAATACACGCACAAATGTTTTGAGGCGACTTAGGTATTTTTTATATACATCCTTTCATTCTTCTCAACCATAGCTAAAAGTTACTAACTGTTTAGGAATAGTCAGAAATGGTCTGTTGGCTACTGAACAGCCCTTCCAATCGCTCTGGTGCGGAGGCTAGATACAGGATAGTATTATAGATGTTAAGGGATAAAAGACCCTCGAACCATAGTGTTAATACAGGAAGGTAGACGCTAATTCAGAGATAGTTCATACGTTTCAATCACCACCTATTTGAACGTCAGGGACATTTACATTAGTTACCTTATCAGTCTAGCTACCTGGCTAGGGACCTGCATTGTGGCCTGACTCCTCTCAAGAAATTTCAGCCAGTCTTCCCAAAGGTCTTTCCGATCTCCCAACATAGCCTCCAGTTATGTCTTTTAGCAGCTGTCCTGGGTGTAATACCTTGTCGATTAATCAAATCAATAGATAGCGCACAAGGACAGTAGAATCAGAGTAAAACCGAAATCCCAAGTCTCCAACGTCTCGTTCGTAGGCCAACCCATTGTGAGTAAACAAAAGGAGAAAGACAGGTGGTTGAAAGTTGTGGAAAAGAAAAAAGTGTAGTATAGGAGAAGCTAACTCGGGGAATAGTCTGATGATGCTAGTTTAGAAGACAAGGACATGCAGAGTGGTATTGCCTCCTTACATAACCTTTATCACGGAATATCCTTTGTTCACCGCTACTTGTAGTGAACTCGCCATACACAGGACGATTTGAGACCCATTTAGTTATATCGAATCGGAAGAACGACGGAGCAGCCAGTGTCTACGAGAAAATAGGTAAACACCAATCGTAGTGCGTCTATAAGGAAATATGATACGTCATGGCAAACTATGAAGGTAAGACCCTTCTCTCTATTAGCACGTCACAATCGGATCCGCACATGCAGATCTTAAACATTGATAAGATTCAAATCAAGCGAGTAAGGTAGCAGATATACCAACTTTGGGTACTTCAGCGTTTGCTGCACAGTTCTTCTATTCCATCAGAGGGATGAAAAAATACGTTGTCCATAACGAAGACGGACTTCGGTTCAGGCCACCTTCCGCAATGCCGGGGAAGCTGATCAGTGAAGTCCTCGAATAGGGTAGCGTCCGTAGAGCTCTAGAATACACTAAACAGCGCGATCCCGTCTGGCCAATATACGGGTAGTATCTGGTAACGCTGGTCGCGATGGAAATTCTGGGTCAGGTCGATCTGTTCCTACTAGCCCTACTCCACCTACATGCAGTATCTTTACTCCGTACTGACCAGGGCAGAGATAACATCTAGGATATCTTCATGTGACCTTCTTGTTAACCTCTTCGTCACGCACTTCTGCGTACACCGTAGTGTAGTGGGGCAGTGATCGGCTTCAGCTCTGGTCCTGGTGCTGGCAATGATCAATGCGATCGACGTTCACAAGGCAGAGGTAGGTTTAGCGCATGTCGATCTCTCGTTTATCGAGCCAGCTGAGAGAAGAAAACCAGAAGGGATGATATATCCGCACAGATCTTATTGGATAGTATGTATGGAGTTCGATCTATCTCAGCTGATGATGCAAAGCGTTAAAAATTGAATGTCCCAGGTACATATAAGACCCCGCGTTCCCACACTGGTTTCTAAATCTTTTTGGTTGATTGCATCCTATCCATTTTCTCACTACCTTGTCAGTTTAATCAAAATAAAATGTCCGACAACGAGCAGCACAGTCACCAATCCGAGGCCAGTAAACTCCGAGAGAGGGGACACATGGTAATCGATGGCCGTCCTTGCGCAATACTTAAAAAGTCGACATTAGACTACCAGCTCTACTTTGTCGCTCGCGACCTCTTCACGGGCAAGGAGCTTGAGGCCACATTGGACCAAGATGCAAGTGTCGAAGTCCCACAAGTTACGAGAATGGAATTCCCTTTGGTATGACTGCTCAATTGACCCCATCATATGAGCTGTACATTTATTAATCACTGGTCTCTCCCTAGTCATATATCGACAACGGATTTCTTCACTTAATCGAGCCTGGCGGCACTGAGAAAGACAATGTCCGTCTCCCAGACAACGAAATTGGGAGACAGATTACAGAATTTAATGAGGCTGGGACCGATGTAACTGTTACTGTTATCGCAGCAATGGGTGAAGAGGCGGCTATCTCTGTCAAAGAGGCATGCTGAAGTGATTCGGGGAATAGAAGCCTATAGCTCCTTGACCTCAAGCAGCAGGGAATATAGTTCCTCGATTCCTCATGACCATAGCTTAGACAAGAACCTCTTCGATGATTTCACTACGTCATATTTGTCTTCTTTCCTTCCTTTCACATATGCTACCCCGTTTCGGTCTTGCTTCGAGAGAGATCAGCATACCACACAGGAATGCGACCTGCTCTCATTTCCAAGCATTTAATGATTCTTCGATATCCCACAAAGGCCCGAATGCCACAATCTGTAACCACTGCTATCTCAATATACTATGTAAGCCAAGTTTAATAGGAATGGTAAACTTGACGTACCGCACCTTGCCCTTGCGCGCCACCACCGTCTCTGATAGAAACCCCCCGGATGGGCCCGAGGGCTCACCCGCGCTGTCAGGTTATAGGGATTTTCTCAAATTTATTGACGTCCTAGTCACCGTCTCGACTAGTTCGACTATCGCAGGAACCAAGTATTCAGCCATCCCATATGCTATTCGACACCATGATTCATCCATTTGTCTCCGGGCGTCCCCAGAGCCCTCGCAACAATACCTGCAACAGATATGTCTGAACTAGGTTGTTCATACAAGCAATGATGGTTTCATTGTATCTCTGGTACGATGCCATTCCTGGCGCAGCGCTTCCAGGCAATAATGGAAACATATGTACCTAGCTGCTGCGCGAAATCATGTTCGAAACTGTAATCTCGCCCCATCATTCAGTTCGGAATTTCCCATCGCATATTGCTCATTGACAGGCCGTTCCTTGGACAGATGTAGACACATGTTGGCTACTAGTACTGCACCCATCTTACGGTGGCGGCTGCATACCATAGTTGTACATTCCACTCCAAACCGCTGCAGGTGTTGGGCTTTAATTAAGCACAGCAAGTACAACGCAAGGTCGTGGCATGGTTATCTGGCCTAACAGCACATGGACAAAATTCGTCTGTGTTTTGCATCGGAACACTGCGCTGTACACTTGGTCATGACCTACCATAATCAAGACAATCTCGTACTGATATCGCAGAGTGAAGCAGGATCCTTGTCGTCGCGGGTAGCCTTCTTTGGTGCTCGTTATCTTATTCCCATAGGCAGTCTTCGAGCTTTCTCTCACCGTTTTCCAGATACTTGAGTTTAGTTTTTCTCAAGACTCATCGGTTTGCGTCTACTCCCTCCAACATTGGTTAATGCGGAGATGGATGACAGCTTGCCAATCCTATATCTCAAAGAGTTTCTGACGGCCTCAGGATGTGTATGAATTGTCGCGGGTACTGAACAAAAGCTTAAGTATGTCCTCTCCTAGGCAAACTCTAAGCGTCTTTGAACCGGTAGATCTCGGTATTCGACAGTGTTTGTCGCTGACGGGCACTCGACAGTTCCTATTTCAAGATTCGTCATACCAAATATATCCCCTGAGTACTTGCTTACCAGATAGGGGTAGTCCTTGGCTATGTCTCGCCCTGTTACCGCGTAGTATCCCTTATATATTAGGATCTACTGTTTGTCAAATGCAGTTGTGATAATAGGCTGTCCTTTAGGTAAGTGAGTGACTTTGATATTTCCGTTTGAGTCGAATTCGGCAGGCCATTTTTCTGCATCGTTGCAAGGGAACCACACATATCTGTGGGCATCCTAGCAGGGCTTTTGAGTTGCACGAGGATCCCTACCAGACCTCTTCCAGCATGATGAAGCCATTTGCTTTCTTGCGTGGCCTTTTCCTTTTCACAGCAATTTCAAAAAAAAGACCTTCCGATAAGAGATCTACCCGCTACAGATTTAGAATCATGGGTTGTACAACAGCAAAGACTAGTTTTGATCGGTCAGTAAATTGATGCACAAAGATCCTTAAAATCCTTTCCAGATTGTTGATAGTTATCCTGCCCTTCCGAAATAACCATCTGGTGCTCCTGAAACATAACCAGAAAAGGTTTAGAAATAGAGTATTAAATTTTGACTGGGGGTGCATTGGGGGAAATACGCTAAAGCCTTGTCCACAAGCTCACACAAAATGATCATTGTGGCAAGTTCACAGCTCTTTCCAATCACTGACCGCTAAGATAGAGCGTAGTGCCTCTATCTACTCATAGCTATGTATCTTGGTGGGGCAGCATATAGCTCATCTAGGGGGTGTGGAGGTGACAGACTCTGCCGCTTTGGCCAGGCGACTTCGAATTGATGCTGAGCGTGCGCACTTTCGGGTTATCGATCATCAAATGAGCGGGAAGCGAAGATGGAGTGAAATTACGCTTTCAACTAGTGGGGACACATATTATATAATGAAATCGCGTGGAGCTATGCGTTAATTCGAGTGGTAGTAAAGTCTGTAGTATAACATATTCATATATATGAGGAATTGAGAGAAGAAGAGAAACACAGAGAGTGACTGTGCGCGAAGAGTAGAGGGGTTTTACAGGTGGTTCTGGGTCGAACCGTCCTCCCAATGGTGATACCTCGCGCGACTCGATTCAAGACCACTGATTTACATAGTTCTTCCTCTGTAAATGAGGGCAGATCCAATAGCCATATCCAATGCCCCATATGGGTCTCGCATAAAGTTCTTTAATGGCAGGTAAATCATGTTTTGATGGGAATACTGAAGTGGATATGGTCACTGTAGCGCATCCTATGCACGATATGATATCACTTATTGACATGATGGGCTATAGTGAAAGTAGATCCCGCCCGTTGCCTGGGGGGCTACTTGTATTCTTTTTAGAAATCCGACTCTTTACATGGTTTTTATGTGTTGTTATCCCCAGTAGTTCTGATTGGCGGTGTGAACACCCAAGAGATCTCACGCTCTGCCGCTGCACGAGAAGCGATAAGCCTAGCTGCCAAGCATATGCCCAAACTTAATCTAAATCGAAGGCCAAGTGAGATACTTGATTGACATATCTTGACTTGACAGCATTGCGAATAGACACAGTAGACAGCCCAGAGTACGAAAAATCAACTGGTAGGGCAATGCCTCTCCGGAAAGAGCATTGACATCTGCATTGTTCTGCCTTTCAAAGAACCAGAGCGTCGGAGATATGCGTTAACTGAAAGCCCATAAAGAATTGTCAGGACCATGAGAACCCCATTGAGAGATATAATACATAAATGACAAAGAACAACGTGTGACTCCGTGCAAACCTCGGCCATTACTGATTATCGAATCAATCGTATGTATCATGCGCCATGCATCGTATATTGTACAGTGAGGATCTGTACGAGGTGTTAGCGCCATGACACAACTGTGCCATAGTATTTAGCATCCTACTGACATTACTTTGTTTTGTTTTGTTTCTTTTGCTTTGTTTCCTTTGGTTTCGGATCAGATCAATGCTCGTGGCCCGGCTTTCGCAGGCGAGGATAATAGAACAAAAAGAAGACGATCACAGCCAACAAGACGACCAGCGTGGGTAAAAACATAAAGGTAAACAGTAGCAGACTCAAGCCGAAGGCGGCACTCTGGCCAGGAAAGAAACGACGAGCCATGACTTCACAAGCGTCCCAGAACATTGAGAGGATGCTGTTGAGAGAAAAGACGGTGATGGCCGTGGGCGGTCGGGGAACAGCGGCGCTAGAGCTCTTTTCGGTCGAGGGCGATGCGATCAACTCGGGAGGAAGGTTGACTGCCGGTCGAAGATGTGGACGTCGAGCGGATATATTTGATCCAAAGGTCGCAATGAGCGAGTATCGGAAGATAGGAGAGACAATAGGTAAATTTATTGAACCGCTCATGGAAGGGGGTCCAACATATGCAGATGGAGATGAAGGGGAGGGAAATGAAGGTATACATTAGGTCGTACAGTTTGAGAGTCCACATCGATCGCTTACTAAGAACATTGTTGTTCTTCAATGCTGGGGAAGGAAAATGGGTATATCGAAGAAGATAAATTACCGACTTCTGTATTCATTACCATGGGTACAAACAGCGTCTATTTCGCAAATCATAATTTACACCGTTACGGAGTACACCATGATTATTGCTGGAAGAATAGGGATTCGACACAGTTAATGAGAGTATCCGCGGGCCCCCGTAAGGATCCCTCCACGATGGACCAACGATTGGTTCGCAATCGCAAGGCCCACCGAACTCCACCGAACTACCGGCGGCTAAAAGTAGTTGGGGGAGGCACTAGACTGAATTCGGGTCATGACGCCAGATGTAAGGCATTGCTTTTCGCAGGCAGCAGCATTCCCAAAATAAGAATTACGATTCCTCTTTCCTGGTAACGTACCGTTTTGGTATGAAACGAACCCCTTCCCTCGCCCAGAGCGTGTTCGAAAGAAGTGACACTATATATGGAAATGGTACAGAGACCGAGTGGAGACAAAAACCGTCTGGTCTGAATTTATTTCCCCTCTGAGGCACAAAAGCGATCATGTGGGTAGGTGGAGGGATCCAGATCAGAGACCAAAACCCCGGGGGGAACCATCGCTCCCCTCTAGGCAACCACATACCAATTAAATGAAGTCGCTTGGAGGATCGGTTGCCATACAGGGTATAAAGAAATTACTGTGTAGTACCAGTGGCGTGGACAATGACCACCCCTTCCGAATGAAGTCGGCGACTTGTGTTGAGTCTTTGGTCGCAACACTTTTGTTCCATTTCTTTGCAGGATGCAGAGAAGATCATAAATGGGCTTATCGCTGTGACGAGTCCTTGGGAAATATTCCGAGGTTTATCCATGGCTCGCTCCATTCCCGAAATTTTCTTTTTCCAGAATACGCGAGGCCAAGGGGCAACTGGCAGAGCGCATGAAAAGAAGTTCCATACTTTGCCAGCTGAGAGCCAATTGCCTTGTAGGGCTGAAAGCTTGGCACGGATCCTCGGTTGACATTTCGTTACTTCCACGGATACCAACCAGGAGAACAAAACCACTGCTATTAATACTCACCAGGTATTAATTCTGCTGATGTGGATTTATTACCTTCAAGGAATGTGGTGGAAGATCGACAACAATACTTAAAATGTCCGTGGGGCGCATCCCTTGCACCCAGACGAACCCTGATTCACCACTTGATCTCTCTCTGCCTTTCTGTTCTCGTCCCTTACCCTTTCCCTTTCCACGCCTGTCTTTCTGCAGGAACTTTTCCCTCGACCGAACCGCGGATATGCGGACGACCCTTCACCGCCTCCCCATCGCACCTTAAATCCCCTCTGATGAATTTATTACTGTACCTTCTGGCACAACATCCCTCAGTCGACATGGGTCTGCTTACGGGAAGCCGCCAACTCGATGCGGCCGATGCCAACAACTTTGGTGTGGATTGGATCATCCACTACCAGTTTGAAGACACGGGTACGTTGTCCTTCCAATCCATCTGATCATCGAGTGAAAGTCCCTCTCGCTAAAATGTTCTCCCTTCTCTAGAGATGCTGAAAGCCATCGAAGAATTCCGCGCCCTCATCAAAGATCTGCAGGAAGCGAAATTGCAAGTACAAGTCCGCCCAGGCTATGGCGCTTCCTTGTTACTCTGCATCCGTGTCCCCCGCGACCACTTGGGAAATATGGTCTATAAATCTCGGTAAGACGAATCGCTTTCCCGACCCCGCTTTCACCCGATTCTAATACCGTCTAGAGTGAAGGACTGGCTGTATGGGATCATCCACGAGCTCCCCATCGGCGACGAGCATACCTCAATCGACTCCGAAACACCCGCCGAAGAACTCCGATCGGTATACCACGCCGTCACTTGGTCCAAGGCACTCGGCGGTGCGGGCGTCACCGCGCAATTGGGCCAGTGGAAGAATGTGGCCAGCACCTTTCCGTTGCATGATCCGACCGCCAACGCCACCTTGTTGCGCAAGTGGAGTCAGACGTTACTGCTAAATGCAGAGGATTTGGATGCGATTCGGGCTTTGTATGGCGAGAAGGTATCTCCGGACAACCTCCTCCCAGTGAATGACGCTAACATACCATCGTTCTAGGTGGCCTACTATTTCGCCTTCATCCAATGCTACTCAACATTTTTGGTCTTCCCCGCTGCGTGGGGCATCTTTACATGGCTCTACCTCGGACCCTACTCGATCACGTCCGCGGTGGTCAACTGCCTCTGGTGCATCGTGTTTGTCGAATATTGGAAAATCCGAGAAACCGACCTCGGTCTCCGATGGAACGTCCGGGGCGTGGGTGCCCTGAAGGTGAATCGCCCGCAGTATGTATGGGACAAGGAAGTACGCGACTCCGTGACGGGTGAGACCGTCCGTGTCTTCCCGGCGCACAAACAATTCCTCCGCCAGCTGTTGCTGCTGCCATTTGCCTCGATTGCCAGTCTTGCTTTGGGCTCATTGATCGTGGTAACATTCGCCATGGAAATCTTGATCGGGGAAGTTTATACGGGGCCATTCAAGGAATACCTCGAATTCCTTCCAACCGTCCTTTTCTCCCTGTCACTCCCATGGATCAACAACACCTTGACCGACATGGCCACCAAGCTAACCGATTACGAAAACTATCGCACTCAGGACCAATATGACATTGCACAGACCACAAAAACCTTCGTGATGAACTTCATTACCTCCTTCCTCCCCACGATTCTCACGGCCTTCGTCTATGTCCCATTTGGCGCCCGATTGCTCCCGTATCTCGACGTGATCCGCGTTGGAAAGCTGGCAACGGCGTTCGACACCCGCCGAGTTCATATCGATCCCTCCCGGTTGCAACAGGAGGTCATTTATCTCTCAGTGACGGGGCAGGTTCTGAGCTTTGGTGAGGAGATTCTGCTGCCCTATGTGAAACGAGTGGTCATGCAGAGGTGGCGCGACTATCGACAAAAGAATCTGCCGGCCGGACAAGGGCGTCGTTATTCGTACCGAACCGACCAGCTGTTGAATGACATCCCGGGCGAGGCATCCTTCCTGTCAAGAGTCCGGAACGAGACTGAAGCCGATGAATACAACGTTCATGACGATACATTGGAGATGTGTGTTCAGTACGGGTATCTGGCACTCTTCGGCGCGTCCTGGCCGCTGGTCCCGCTCGGCTTTCTTCTCAATAACTGGCTGGAGCTGCGGGGAGACTTCTTCAAGTTAAGTCTCGAATGCCAGCGGCCGCCCCCCATCCGAGCCGATTCCATTGGGCCGTCGCTCCAAGGCTTGGAGGTTCTCACTTGGCTCGGAACCTTGTCTACTGCAGCCATCGTCTACCTGTACCGTGGTGACATGGCTGACGTGCGTCTATCCACGCTCCTGTTGATCCTCCTTGCGGCGGAATGGGCATATCTGGGGCTCCGCTTCGTCGTACGGACAGCTGTAGAGAAGATCGCCACAGGCTCGCTGCGAAAGGAGGCCGCCAAACGCTACGCGCTTCGCAAGAACTATTTGGACTCACTCACACGAAGTACGTCTCCTAAGGGTCGACAACGCGTCCGCTTCGAAGACCGTGTCAATGTCTATACCACGGGAACGGATGTCAAAACCAAGTCTCAAGAGTTCCTGCACCCCGGTCATCATGAGACATCAAGTGAGGAGCGATTCTGGTCTTGTCCCGCCCAGGATTCTGCGGACGCCGGCGTTCGCTTAATCAAAGCCCTATGCATGGGCGATCGGGTACAAGCACAGAGTAAGTCCGAGAAGATGAAAAAGGGTGCATAGAGTGTTCCCACCCATACTCGATGATAGATTTTTCCCCTTTGCATTTCCTACATTATACAGTAGACCTGTAACCATCGCTGGTGATGATAACCTCCCTGCTGTGCGGGATCTCTCTCAATGTCTGCACCCGAGGCATATTGTCTCGGCTACCATGGATTTGAAATCCAGTTCACTGATAACGATAGCGCTACCATTCCAGGAATGCGCAGATAGCTCGGATCTTGTACATATATACTTTCTTTTCCGTCTCCGTTTCCTTGGGTCACGTGTCTCTAGTGTTTTCTGCACAAATCACATTAGTCGGTATCAACTATTTAATACACATCAGGTCTATGCAACACATTTCTTTGCGTATTAGTGCTTGTAATGAGCGTTTTTAGTGCAAGGAAACAGGGGGTAAAGCAACCTCTGCAATTATTCATACTTGCCGAGGTTTGAGACCTCAGGGTCTTGGCCCCACCCTTTGATCAAATTGCTGACAGTTCCCTGGTTAATATCTTAGATCTTAGTCTTAAAATAGAAAGTGATAATTCACTGCAAGAGGACAGAAAGCAAGGGAAACGATGGCTTAAGAAAATGTGTTAGTCGCAACACTGATCCATGGTGAGGAAATATATGTTTGTCACGTCCGCAAGCGGTGAACGGAGCACGATCATCCATCCGTCTTTTCTCGGACAGACGACATGTAACACAACAGCCTGCATGGGTCACATGGCTTATATTCTACGTCAAGTGAGTCCACGTGCCTTGACTGGGAAAGGGCGTGCGCTCTCAATCACTCCCCTCCTACTGTGAAAAGCCATTTCCCACATGGATACCGTTCCCCAAACATCAGATCCAACCACGCTTTGCTACGTATCCTCAGTACGTAACTGAGACTTTGACAGGCAGAGTGGACCCTTCGGAAAGACGGAACGGCATGAGATCCCCTCATTTCGTGAAATAGGTCATCTCCGAAATGGGTCAACTCCACGGTAGGGCTGAGACATGGGATTGGCGAAGGATCTGGATTCTAGCGGGACACGGGTGGTTTGGAAACCGAGGCTTACGCAGCTTATGATAGATACGTCAGTCGTCGGCCTGTTGCGCATGTTTCCTGCAGTATAGAGTTGATACGTGGATTGGGTAGGGATGGGCATGGATGCAGATGCTTGTTCATGCAGTCGAGGGATGTGTTGGGAAGGTGATGAGCGGTCAAGGGAGGTATGCATGCCGCCGGTGATCAAGATCGCAAGAAGGAGGACCGAGGGAAATTGTCGAATCCTTCTAGTTCTTCAGGATCGCCCAGATGGAGGATGACTAGTTTAGAAGACGGAATGACTACTAGTGGCAGTCCACTTTCAGCCCTACAAGGCAACGCCAAGTTCAGCGAAAAGTCAATCAGTCATCCGTGGTTGACCAATGGCGGACCTCGGCCGGGTTCCCCCAGTTCATTGCTTGCAGCTCTTTTCGTCCAGGTCCGTGACCGACATTCCATTCTTATTAGTCGTCCTGCTCCCCTTTCCCTTTCATTTTTTTTATCGTTACCCGTTCCGTTCAATCAGGGTGTCACCCTTCTTTCTTTCTTTCCCCCTTCCCCTCTCTTTCCTCTCTCTTGTTTCTCACACACCAATCTCCTCTTTCCTCTTCGACTTTCCTCCCGCCCCCTCTTTGACTTCGCTCTTCTGGAGGAGCGAGTCTCCTCCGGTCGCCCAATGTGTCCCCCCTCCGAATCGAAACCCGAGCTCTTTCTCCAGGAAGAGAATGAACCGGGAAAGATCGTCCCTATGGTGACTGTCGTCCGTCGGCGCGGACGATTGCATTTGGTCCACCCTCACTGGTACCGGAACAGTTTATTGGCGAGCACGGGATTTCTCGAGTTCGCGAATGCCGGGGATTTCGCGGCCAACGTGTGGAATGAGATCCCCGTACCCCGACATGCAATGATCCTGATGGCCATTGGAGGACCGATCGCTTTGATGATGAGTATTGTCGCCCTGCGCGACTTTATTCTCAGTTGGCGGAATGTCAAACTGCTCCGTGCTGAACGCCGATATCTACAATCGCTGAAACGCGATTACCTCGCATCCTCCAACCCCGACCCAGATTTGATGCGGCTGATCGACAGCCGCCTTGGCCTTGGCTGGCGCGAATTGGGCACAGAGCTGATTGACCGTGTCGCCATGGACGTTTTCCTCGGTCTGGGCGCCCTCCTGGTCGGTACTGGTACGATCATGGCCATCTGGGGAGCCCACCCGAAAGTCTTCCATGCCAGTAACCTCCTGTCGGGGTTCGTGGGAAACTCCTTCGCAGCAGCCTTCGGCGTCGTCAACGCGGTCTGGTCCGTCTACCTTGCCCGTCGATTCCACCGCTACGATAGACTATGTGCGCGCACCCCGGCTCTGTCCCCGTTCCGCGACCGTCTACACCTCCGCTTCAGCAAATTCAAGTGGCACGCAGTCGTTTCCGGGCTCACTGGACTCATCGCCGGTGCTGCCTCCATGGTCACAGCCCAAATGTGGTGGGGATACGTGGTGCTAGCGCCCTGTATGGTACTGCAGCTGCTATGCAACCGGTTCTGGCGAACCCAGCTGGGCTACGACCGCCCGATTGTCGGCGACTACGATCAACGGGGTATCCTACTCCGCGAGACGCAAGAAATCCGTGACGAAGAAAAAGATGGACCACTACTGGATAGTCTCGCCTCTACGGTCACCCTGTACAACGCACTCGGTGCTCTGCCCTCGCCGAGCGAGGCCCTTGACTGGACGAGTCTGGACTCACTTGTCCAATTCATGATCACAAATGACCTGTTCGATTCCCTCTGCGACTGGCTCGCACACGATAAATCCGTTCCTCCCGACGTCCGCGACGCCGTCTTCCGTCACCCATCTTCCTCTTCAGAGCACACCGAGATCACAGTGTCTCCCGACCACCTCCTCCGCGTTCCTGTCCCAATGCAGACCCAACTGCGTGATCTTTGCCGTCAGTACCTCCAACTGGACGGGCGGAGGGTGCTGCTCTATCGGGAGCGGTATCTGTTAGAGATGGTGGGGTCGATGCTCTCCAGGGAGAGTCAGTAATGTAGCACGTCCTGTATACTATTATGTACATCGCATCCGTTGGATGGGGATATCGATTGGGACACTCTGTGCCGGCACATGAAGCAGTAGATCTGCAAGTATAGTTATTAATGTGGTTATCTTAATCAATAGAGCAGCTTATTTATTGGGCTTTTTATTAGCTCTTGAATCAGACAGTAAAGCCATACGAGACCATTCCCAAGACACGTCCAGAATATCTATTTTATTTTAAACCCACCCCAAAGCAAGAAAGCTAAAAGCTAAACAAGCCACTCCTCCTCTTCCCCAACGGATACACCACCAAAGCAGCCACAAACAGCCCAACCGTAATCCCAATAGCAACCTGCACCATCCCAAACCCGAGATCCTGGACGGACTTCTGCTGTCCCGCCCCAGCAGACTGAGCAACCCCATGAGTCGCATTCCGGGTGACATTCGACCGAATGGCATCCGCCGACTCCACGCCCGCAATCAGCGATCCGGACGCCGCAAGACCAGACGGCACGAGGACAAATATCCCCGGTAAAATGGCGGTGGCTGCGTGTCCGTGCCACAGTCGACTGTACAGGTTTCCCATGACGCCTATGGCGAATGCGCCGACGGTGTTGGCGACCTGGGTGTTTGTCCCGAGACGCTTGGTTACGAAGTAATTAGTCACGTAGCCTGTGAAGGCGATGATGACCATTACGGGGCCCTGTTTCCATTTCCCCTGGTTGATGATCAGGAGGCAGATGGAGAAGGCGACGACGAATGGGAAGCGGGCTACGTAGGGGTTTTCGAAGCCGAGGATGTTGGGGCAGGTTGTGTTGGATGTTGCGGAGCGGTCGATGAGGCCGTAGATGGTTGTTCCGACCGTGACGCCGTAGCCGAGGAAGAGGGAGTAGATGATTGCGTAGACCATGCGGATGGAGCCCGGGACGATCTTGTGGGATTGGAGTTCCAGACTGCTACAGAGGACGGTGTACCCTGGGAGAATGAGGGCGATGGAGGATTGGGCGATGGCGGAAAAGCAGAAGAGGTATTGGTTGGGCGTGCCGTGGATGGTGGTTGTTATGCTGCCGATGGCGCGCGCAATGAAGGAGGTTAGCACTGCGGCTGTTACTTCGAAGACGTTTGAGTAGAGAACTGAGCGTGGCGCGATGACATGCTGCATGATGCCGAGCAGACAGCCGTTGCAGAAGATGATGGGCATGTCGATGGGTCTGGCGCCGAAGGCGAATGGGCCGACCATGGCGGTGGCTAGGCCACAGACTAGCACGATGATGAGCTTGTTGTACCGGGGTTTTCGTTTCATGATGTCTTCCAGTTCTTGGGTTGCTTCCTCAATGCCTATAACGTCGTGGATGACGTTTTTGTAGATGTTGTGAGTTTCGGAGAGACGGCCTAGGTCGACGCCCTGTGAGACGCGGACGAGTTTGACTTCCGCGGTTCGGGTCGAGGGATCGTCAAAAGACATTATCATGCAGCCGGGGACGTAGAGGTACTGGCTATCCACTTGGAGGACCTTCGCGGTCATTTGCATGTACTCCTCTAAGCGATGCGTGGGGGCCCCGAAGACCATGAGTGCCTTGCACAGCTGCATAATGTACCTCTCGCGCGCGATAATCTGTGCAATCTGTAGAGTAATTTGAATTTCATCCTCGAGCCTCATATTCCCCGGCGATTGCTTGCTGCGCCGTTTCGAGGCAGCTGTAAGTATTTCACTTGAGACCGGTGTGCTCGCCCCACTGATATTCGTCGAGGTGGCAGCCAGAGTGTTAGGCGACATATTCGGCGGCTTCTTATACCATTTCATTTTCCGTGGCGTAGTTGTCCCAGATGGGCTTCCACTCAGAGGCGTCCCGATCTCTCTAGGAGACTGACTTATGTTCGACGGTACGCCTATATGTACATGATCCAGAGCTCCGTTGAGTTTCAGAAGCTGGGACAAAACACCTCCATTACTCCCACGGCGTCGTATACCCGCCCCATTCCACGCGTCAGCAGGACTACCCCAGTAATCCGGACCCTTGTGCGGATAGTGTTTGTTATGTCCGGGCCGATGATATGCCATTTTATCCTGTGACAATTCTCGGACAAGCCGATGGGCCTCAGAGCTCGATCTGTGATGGTCATACCCCTTCTCAGAAAGCGTGAGCTCGCTACTGACCGCCGATTCAGGACGGTATTGCATAGCACGCACGTCTCCTTCATCAGAAGGTGGACGGCCCAGCCGAGCCGCGCACTCTCTCGCCTTCTTCGTCGCCGCATGTCTCAGCTGGTTAAGTCGGCTTAGCAGCGAATCACCAATACCAGTGTGAGAAGGCTGAGCTAGGGACTCTTTCTCGAAATCAACACTATCTGTCCCCTGAGGCTGACTAAGATAAATGGATTGTTTCCTCGGTCGTGCCTCGGTGATATCCACAGATCTCTGCGTGGATCGACGACGTTCAGGAGGTAGCTCTTCGGGTGATCCCTCTGACTCCGTGTCAACATCACCATATTCGTATCTCAGGTCCGTACCGAAATGGACCCGATGCCGAGACGGTGATACGTGGGTCGGGCTGACGTTATCCGGATTGGTCCCTTGTGTCCCTGCATGATGCTCAGGGGTCCCTGGACTTTGGTTCTCGACACTCCGGTAGCTGATTAATGAACTCTGGCTCGCTTCACTGTCGCGGCGGTTCTGCGGCATGGGGCTGGTGTGGGGGAGTTTGAATAGTCAGGGGTAAAGGTGTGGGATGTAGGGGGTTTCACCCTACACGATGGAAAGCTATGGCGTGTGATAGTGTCTCGAGTGTATATGAAAACATGCAGACTAGTGTAGGGTATTGTTGTTTATATCCAGACGCAAGTGAAACATGAATAGCAGCAAAACCACATGGCTCGGATAAACTTCAGGATGGCCCGCAGTCACGACAGCGTTAGTCAGTATTATTCAAGATGGTCGAGACTTTGGGCACGATGATAAAACGGAGGACGTCTACGGGATGGTCGGTCGTCCAAGAATAGAAAATGGGCATAGGGTGCAGCATGGAAATCCATAACGGGCCCTACCACGGGTAGATCAACGTCATATATGGATCAGCACACGATAACACCACCGAAAGGCACCACTGACAGCTTTATCGGAGTGGACAGCTGGTGTGGAACTCCCTGGACGTTGACGCACTGGGAGAACAGTCTATGACGCAAACAGGCAGTATGTGGGTCCAGAGGAACATCGGAGTTTTCGAGTTTATAGGACCTGTGGACGCTATCACACCAGCTTGAGTATTACTGAATAATGCCCCTAAAGAGCGTCTCAATGCCTTTTTGTTGGCCATATCTTGTTCGTTTAGTAGTATGTGCTAGTGCTGCAGAGTCGATCATTCAGTTGGGGTGGGATATTCTGGCCATGGAAAAGCTTTGAATGTGGACCGTCGGCGGTCTAGACATTGTTTTTCAACTTCAGAGTTCGATAGGTCCGATCTAGAACGTTGGCATAGTCACATCAACTTTTAATTCGGACATTCCACGATAAACATCGGTCGGTCATAGGGCGATCGTAGAACTCTCTGTACCCGAGAAGATGCCGGCGACAAATCGGAGTCGGAACCCACGGCATAAACCTCCGGATCTTGTAGGATGAACTCGGGAAAGGTTAAGCAGGCCGGTAACCATATCTCGTGGTCTAGATTACCGGCCGATTGCGTAGGATCGAGAGATACCACTGTGGTGTTCTCTATGTGCAGGCTTTGAATTCCTTTAAGGTCAGAAACAGTCCTCCACACGAAACCAGAGCAGCTAATTGATAGAGCTTAATTTCAGTCAAGACGTGATCTTCCTTGCGAGAGGTATGAACAATGTAGCATTCCCGAGACGCTTATGTACATACTTACACAAGCACATCATGCGGGTGCCAGGCCAAAAGCACCGGGAAGCTGTTCAGTGAACCAACATTTCAAATTTACATCTATTGGAATTGTCTAGACGGCTTCTTATATTACTCTCAGACCGAGATAATGTAAATGATCGTCCGAGTTAACGACACGCATCTAAATATAGAACCACCTTGCCAATTGAGCCCTGCATCGGATATACTAGTTCCGTTGATGCCTACGTTAAGTCGAGAGTCAGGATTTCTACAATACTGGACTCGCACTACTGTGACCTAGGAGCGAGTACGAGAGCGAGACAAATACGAGGCAAATGAGGAAAACAATTTTCTCAACCCTGATCTCTCAGCTAGAGCCTACTCCCTTATCATCGCCTGTGGGTCGACTAAGATTTGACTACCGTGCGGCTTTCCCGAACGCGAGAACGAAAACGAATCCGACGATGAAATAGCACTGAGAAAACTCATTAACCTCTGGAAGTGCTATTTTAACATCATATCTGGGAAAATATAATCTGAAACATCTCCACATAGTTCATACATAGTCCTTTTGACTTAATGTCTGTTGCCGCCAAGCGAGGCTATTTAGAAGTATGGAAGTGTTGAACCTCTGGGCCTATGATTATTGGCTATGCCACAGTATCCTTCATGATGGATTTTCTTCTGCCTAGTTTTGCTTGTTCCTTCAATTCTGCAGCGTGGCTAGATATTCGATTTAAAAGTACTGTCTTTCAGTGTGCTGGCCTTGTTCTCTCACGACCACATCATACAGCCCTGTTGCATCGAAGGTTATTCTGGCAGCAAGAGATGAACATGATTACACACCGTACGGACAGCAGCCCAACAGGGGATGCAATATCATTTTCCTTTTATCACTATGACCCGAGTATGGCGGGTGCTGTTGTCTTCATCATTCTTTTCGCCGGCACAACACTCTTTCATATCTACCAGATGGTCCGAACCCGAACTTGGTTCTTTCTCCCTTTTGTGATTGGCGGCATATGTTAGTGAGCCTTCTCTCGTAGGGAAACTCATGCTTTTAATAAGCAAGGAATGCTAACTTGAGCAGTCGAGGTACTCGGATATATTGGGCGCGCCATGTCCAGTCGGGAATCCCCGAATTGGACCTTGGGACCATATCTCATCCAAACCTTATTCCTGCTCCTTGCGCCAGCCTTGCTCGCCGCTTCGATATACATGTTCCTCGGACGAATAATATTAGTTCTACGGGCAGAGTCGCACGCAATCATGAGAAAAAAATGGTTAACTAAAGTCTTTGTGACGGGCGACGTGCTGTCTTTCCTCCTGCAAGGCTCTGGTTAGTGACGATACAACCCATTAGTACGAATAACCACCACCAGAACAGTACTAAATATCTCTTCGATTTCTAGGCGGAGGTATCCAAAGCGGCGGCACCCTTGACAGCATGAAGCTAGGAGAGAAAATCATCGTCATCGGACTTTTCGTCCAAATATTTTTCTTTGGATTTTTCATCATCACGGCAGGCTCGTTCGATATGAAATTGAAGAAATACCCTATCCCGCGATGCCACTTACCCGAGATCCCCTGGAGGAAGCATATGAATGTGTTATACGCTTCAAGCATGCTGATCATGATCCGGTCTGTATTCCGCTTGGTCGAGTATCTGCAGGGGAATAATGGCTATCTCCTGCATCACGAAATTTTCCTCTATATCTTTGATGCGGTGCTGATATTGATCGCCATGGTGATCTTCAATATCTGCCACCCTAGCGGAATTGGGCAGCTGCTGGCTAATGAAGCGGATTATGAACTGAAAGACACGTATAGTGCAGTACCGTGAGTATAATCTTATATCTATTTTAGAAGAGACGGGCTCCATCACTTTCGATAATTGAGGTTATGTATATGAAAGCATAGAAGCATACTTCATCTTTTAGTTTACAATTTTCTTACAAACTTCTACCATCAAACTGTTAGAACAAACAATCGGGCAAAAGATAATCGTTTTACTTCGCATTTGGGGTGGCTTTTATTTATTGCCGGTCATCAAAGGTGGCTATAAAGTAAATCATATATGATTTTGGAAGGTGGCGCAAGGAGGCCATCACGTGGGAGGGGATGAGGCTGAAGAACGAGGCTAATATAACAGTTGCTTTGGTTCCTTTCATCAACCGTTTGATACTTCTGTGGGATACTCGTTAATTAGAACCCGAGGATGGCAGATCCTGGATCGGTGATTGGTACAGTTGCAGCTGTTTTGCAACTAGCACAGACCGCTTGTAAAGCCGCCCTGGAGCTTTATAACTTCTGCTCGGTTGTTCAGAATGCACCCCAAGAGATTATCACCATCAGCCGAGATGCCCATGCATTCTACATGACGATCTCCAATCTGGAAAGCTCCCTCCGCAGCGACACAGTAACAACAGTCGTAAGCAGAGACGCGGAGCTTATGACAGCCTTAGAGACGCTGAAGATCCCGATTGAAAATTGCTCCTTGGCGTGTGAAGCGATTTTGGAGAAACTTCAACCACATCTCCGAGTTGATGGTTCCTCATCTCAGGACACGACGATAACTGATACGACTGATGTTACATTACCAATCCAACGAAGATTCAGCCGTCGAAACATGATGTGGTATTTCAAGCGAAAGGAAATTATTGCTTTGGCCGCGGAGTTGGAGCGAAGTAAAGCGACACTTGGGGGCGCTATGAGGAATGCAATTTTGTTTGTCTCTTCACGAACCTCCTACAGAGAATATTCTCACAGGTCCTCGATAGTTTGGTTGCACTGAAAATCCATGCGGTCGTGGGCCCCGGTATCATAGTCCAAGGGAGCCTTGACACCAACGATCTCGATCCATCTTTGACAGGACGCTCGGCATCACAGAGTATCGGCGAATCCCGAGGACACTACCGATTCAAGGACCTAGGGTCGGCGTTGACGGAATATGCTGCCCTGGTGTCTGATCACCCCATCGGCCCTTTCCGCAACTACGAGCTGGAAGGCTCGGCAACTATAGATCTGTGAGATAAGCACCTTCAGGTAATCTCTTGCATACCTGTATGTTTGGGTATATTTATTTACCCTGCCTCGGGCATTAGCTCACATCTTGCAGAGTGGTTCGAAGGGTAGATTTGCGGTGAGCTCCTTTGGGAAACTGTCACAGAAATGCTGAGCGAGCTGGTGACCAACCTCGAGCTTTGTACAGAGTGTCTATCACTGTGGGAACTAGATATCTTTGGAGAATGGATTCTAGAGCTGTTGTATCTATTTTGCTCTCGAGCATTTCGTAATCCATGCAGTCCAGAATTTTACCGCGTTGATTTTCTAGACGCGAGGAATTAAGCTAAGTTTTTCAAGTGACGACAATTTGGTTTAACGAAGAGTTGAAGAGGGGGTCAGACCAGGAACAATCATTACATATGATCGTGATTAGGTATGTAATTTTGCACCAGTGTAAGGATATGCAGGATACAGCGCAGCCAAATGAAAGTGGTGTTTGAAGCTCTAATACTGGAGGAGATATAAGAAATATATATAGTGGGCCAGGGCAAGGACGTCGATGGGCTGGATGGTTTGGCGTAGGCTAAATAATACCAAACACATCAAAAAACTAAATAGTCAAAGCTTCGTGTACACACAACTATGTTTCCCGTTGATTTGGTGGTATTTCATCAAAACGTTACTTGGTGTGTCTGCATACAGGTGTAGTTGAACTTGACATTATAGCCTTGGCACATAAAGCACTTGGGCAAAGGATAAACTCAACAATCGGCCGGCTGGCCCAATGGCAAGGCGCTTGACTACGAATCAAGAGATTGCAGGTTCGATCCCTGCGTCGGTCAATTCTTTTTGGTTCTCTCTAAAGATCCATATCTTTTTTGAACATGAAGACGTTGGTTGGCTTTTCGCCGCTGTGGATCTCCAGGCCAAGATTTTCTACCGACGGTGCCGGGCTCTGTTGTGATTGGTCCATGACAGTCAAGTATGTCCCCTTCAACAGGAACAGGCCCTAACAGTGAGTACGGCATCCAGCCCACAAATGATTTGACGCAACAAATGGGTCAAGTAAACCAAGCACCCATAGTTCGGTTTGTCCTAACACATAGCGGACTTGTGGCACGGCCTCTGTATTTCCCAGATACTTGCTTGTGAGCCAAGAACTACGCCACCAGCCGAGCTAGTTAGCGACGGACAAAGAACTCTGCGGCTATGAGCGACTAGCTGTAGCCCTAACGTGGTGTTGCCTTGCTACTGTAGCCATCTGCCTACCCCTCTCTCATGTCAGAGACGTGACATTTAAGCACCAGTCTGCCAATTCTAATTTTCACGCATTGCTTCGTAGTTGAAAGTAGAAGCCATTTCTAACACTATGGTATCGGCTGAGCAGCTAGCTGTGGAAGGGAGGTAGTGGTCACCTAAAAACAAAACGAATCATGAATGGGACTGTATGGTGGTATGGAGACAGGGGTCGGGTCGTAATTTAGCCCACGGCTAAGTTCGATCGGGGCTTTGGGCGAGGGGGGTAGCTGAGACCATTCCCCTCACGTTGGGGACTGTATTACCACAGAAAATCAGAACAAAGGAAGAGAAAAATAGACAGATTACTTGTAATATGTGAGGCGTCTGTGGCGGCGACAACCGGGACATCGACTGGGATGCGTTTACCGCCCTTACCCTTGTAGTCGGCGTAGCTAATAGTTAAACGCTTGAAGTATAAATGAGTCTTTCCAGCCTTATTTATGGACATCTATCACCTACACCCGTGCAGCTCAATATGAGGATTAGCTGAGCGAGGTGTAATCATCCTTCTGCGCGGAGAACCTTTCAGTCATTCCCTGCCAAGCAGCAGCCCTAATCCCTGGAATATACCTGGCATTAAGACTAGGGATCTAATCCATCTGCTCTGCTTTTACATGGTTCATGAGTGGCCAATTCTTTGTTCCTGTTCGCGCCGGAGCGGGGTTTAAATTAACTTGCCTGTTGATTAAGTCATGGTTTCCAACCTATCTGCTCTGAATTCACTCTTGCTTTCGCTCTTGCCTTCTTCCTCTCTATTATCCCCCTAGAGCAACGAACCACTAGAGCAGTTTCAATCACCATGACCTCGCCCATCGGAGTGCACCTGGTAGGAAGCATCCCCTTGCCTGACACTGAGCAGGTTTTCAGGAAAATTCCAGCAGCGCTGCCAGACCGTCTCTACTCAATCCCAGACGGCGAACCAGGCATCCGGCAAAACTACATCCGCTGGGAGCTTCCCTGCTTTCCCAAGGAGACATACCGCCCGTTCTTGCCAGGTAGCACCGAGTTACCCGCCGACCATCCCGGTTTTACTCAGGATTCCGTGGCACCCTCTCAGTACGATGGTGCTGCGCTCGAATCCTATAAGCGATTCGTGCAACTACGCGATCAAGGCGTCATACCTTCGGGAGTACGATTTCAAGTCTCGCTCCCATCACCCCTAGCCTGCATCCAGGGGCACTTGCGTCCTGAAGTCCATGAAGAGCTCGAACCGTTCTACGAACGCCGTATCCACGACTCTCTGAACGGGATTGTAGCCGGCATCCCAGCTCAAGACCTCGCAATCCAATGGGATTTGCCCTTCGAAGTGATTGATTTGGAGTATGAGCGAGGTCGGTTTCCCGACGGCTTCCCGTTCAAGCCACACTTTGCTCCCGTCAAACAGGGCGTATTGGATCGGATCCAGCGTCTCTGCGCGGGAATCCCGGGAGATGTTCATGTCGGCTTCCATTTGTGCTACGGGGATCTGGAAGGCAAGCATCTGATTGAACCTGAGGATCTGGCGTTGTTGGTGGAGTTCGCGAATGACATCGCAAAGACAATCAGACCACACGTGGTGAATTGGATCCATATGCCTGTGCCCAAGAGCCGGGACGACGTGGCGTACTTTAAGCCGTTGAAGGGATTGGCGGTGGATGAGGATACGCGGCTGGTACTGGGATTGGTGCATTTCGACGACGACGAGGGGACGAAACGTCGGATCAAGGCTGCGCAGGAGGCCACCGGGAAGAGGTTCAGCGTGGCGACTGAGTGTGGAATGGGGAGAGTGCCGAAGGAACAGCTTGATAGTATCCTGAGGATCTCGAAAGAGGTGACGGAGCCTATTAACTAAGTGGGCTGACCGATTGGTGTCACTCACTTGCTGTTCCATGTTCGTTAATCGTTAATCGGAATGCAACAAACAGTAGAATATACCGGATTAGTTGTCATTTCAGGGCCTCAATCTCTCCTGGCGTAAACCTCTTGTCTGTTTCCGCGAGCCAGGTCTACCACTCCCCTCATCCCTCATCCAAGACTTCACGATACTAATTGATCATCAACATCACCAGCACCAGTACATCTTTACACCGAGTATATCTCTAGTTTCTAATAGGCAACGACCCGCTACCCGGACGCTGACTTTCATTGGCACATCACTTCACATGTATTGTCGTCTGCCTATATTGACGCCATACTTGCCACAAGACTTGCGAGGGATATAAGGTTGTCGATACTTGTTAGACCGCTGGCGGATAGCATGCATGGTATTATACAGACCAACAAGATAAAAGAGTTGCTGTCATCCGTTTCAAAAAGCTCTCACGATAACCTCTCAATCTCAATCTCAAGTAAATCGTACGTCTCAGTTGCAGTGTACGGTGGAGAAGTTCTCACCACGAGTGGCGGCGGAATGGTATCAGTAGCCATGGTTTGGAGGGAAGGGGGCTTCAAGAAGATGAGGTAGAGGTGAGGTTCTTTGCGTGATCTTCACGACTGTTCCATGAATCAGGCACACGTGACTGTTGTTTACAGTGTTTGTGGGTATCTACTACCTTGAAATATTTTCTTGTGTCTGGTTGTACTCAAAATTCTCATTAGATAAAGCTAACAATATGCCGTTGTTTTGCTATTGTATCATTTTGAATATTAGTAGCTTCTCTCCTCCTTGATATATCGCACTGTCCTATACAGCCTGTAGAGACTGTACACAGTCTACAATAAGTTCATACATAGAGGAGCAGTCCGGGGGTCCACGCAGAACCCGACCCGCAAAGTCGGACTCAGGCAAGGACTCGGCGATCGGAACCTTAGTAAATTCCGTGAGTTGATGTATGTTAGATCGGATGGAATGCAGCACGCTGGTTAGAGCCGCGTATTCAGTCCTCATTGTATGGTGATCCGGCCCAGAATATATATGTCACGACTGGAAAGATGTCTCACGCGGTATCGTCAGCATACCGAATCGCCATCGGATCCGTGAGCAAACATTTTATAGAAATACAAAAGCTAAAAACGTTTCTCTAGTATATAAACCAAAGTATACTAACCTTTAAGCACTAGTACCCTAGAAGTATTTTGTGCAGCGAAGCGAAACGTAGCAAGCATGGTAGAGGGCTGCGCGAAAGGATCTGGCTTCTGATTGGTGGAAAATTGTCCTTTTGCACCATTTACCTATAAGACGGTGGGTGTATCTGGCAGGATTATACCACTGAATGAAACTATAAGCCAGCTGCCTGAACTGCTTGAATCGCTTAAACTATTTATTAGGGTACAGGTAGCTCGCTTCTAGTGCCATATGGCGGACATTTGTAACCCTCCGGAGTCCGAAGTAATCACTGGGCAATGATATACTATTACCCGATATAGGTTCCTCTGGTACACTTGGTCGGTGCTGGACATTTATCCGCGCTCGGTCCGCCGCCGACCCGCCCGCTGGATCCGCTCGAGATGGTGTCTTTTCCCTCGTCGACCGGACATGTTCTCCGCTCCGTCTATCTGTACCGTGGACTGGAACCTTGGGTGAGTTGGAGAGTTGGAGAGTTGGAGCGCATACTGAAAGTCTACTTAAGAGAATATGATATAGGATTTCTTTCCCTGCGGAATTTAGAGTGCTTACATGGACTTGAATTCCACACTACACGAGTCATGTCTAGGTTATGGTTATTCAAGAATAATCTTATGAGAATCGATTTCAATATTTCAACCAGTAAAATTCAAATTTGATTTAATAAAGTCTAGGCGAAGGA